TCTAATTAATAATTAGTGTGTAACCCGTCGAAATTATGACGATATTTTTCTGAAAGAATTTAGGCAAGCATCCTTAGTTCAATAGTTTAAGGAAGTGATCCCGTTGGCTGTTTCTATTCTAATTTACGTAGATTAACTAGGCTTACTGGTATTAATGAACAACAAATTCGATTACAATTTCTTCGAAGACTTTCACCCACCAACCAGATGGAAGTTCATCATTTAGGAATTGAAAAATCTCCAGATGAGTTACTTCCGAAACTTGAAGAAATTGAAAGATATACAGCGGAACAATTATCTGGAGCTTACCTGCATTCAAATTCAGATTCAGTATCATCCAGTAACAGTTATAGAAAGAATAATTATTCAAACAATACTGGTATGACCAAAAAAATTGAAAACTATGTAAAATCTATTATAGTTTCATTACAATCTCAACCTGTTTCTATACAACCAACTTTTCAAAGACAAGAAGAACAGTTGGTACGGTCCAGTCAAATGGATTCAGATAAAATTTATAAAGATCCAAATTTGCAGTTAAATGATCAAAAATGACTTCAAATGGATGAAACAACAGATTGTCTTAGTGCTTTAGCAGGTCCATTTACATTACAATCATTAATAAATACAATTTCTAAAGGAGTATTTGATAAATTTTCTTCCTTCTTGCCTAAGAAAAATGAAGGGAATGCATCAAAAAATGTTGAAGTCGACTCAGATGAAGAACTGGGTAATCATATAAGTAAGTTGTTGATAAATAAGGCTATATCTAAACAGGTCAAGAAGGAGATTAAGAAAACATCCCAACACAGATGCTCAAGATGCCATAGAATTGATCATCATTCAAATTCTCCTAAATGTCTGAAAAATAAAAAGAAGAGCCAGTTCAGAAAGAAAGGTAGTGTCAATAAGATTTCTATAGATTCCAATTCTGATACTAATAATTCTTCCAGTAGTGATTCTGGATCTGATTCTGAGACAGTGTCTGATGCTGAGAATTCATTTTCTGAATTTGAGTCTGATCATAGTATTAACATACATGTCTCTAAAGCAAAAAAAAAGTAAAGCAGAAGGGTAAATTGGATAAATCATTATCTAAAAAGTTTGGTTCAAAAAAGAGACAGAGTCTTGAATCTCCGATTCAACGTTCTTCACAAAAAATACAAAAGAATTCAGGTATGATTGTTGATAAACAGATCCGAAAAATGATTTTAGATATGTTTAATGATTCAGATATAATAGAAATGATTAAAAACAATATCTTCACTTTTACTAAAACTTCTACAAATAATATAATTCCACCTATTACGAATTCAGATTTTACAAATTATCGAGAACCAGTTCCAGATATACCTGAGTCAAAGGAAGAAGAGATTATAAATGATCCTATGGAGATTGATTTTGTTCAAAAAAAAGATCCAGCTATGGATGTGGTAATTACAAAATGCAAAATTAAATGATTAGTAATTCTGGCAGTCACAATCAATCCTGGTGCAAATTTTCCAATTATAACAGAAAATATTGCTAAACATTTAAAACTTATAATCAATACAAAAGAAAAACATGATCTTAGTAGAATTGCTACATCACCTATTGAATTCATTGGAATTGTCCGTAATGTTCCAGTAACTTTTACCCCAAATTGTACTATACATTCTGATTTTGCTGTTGTTAAACATCATAAGCTGATGCTAATTTTACCAAATACTCTCTTAGACAAATATGATTACAATTTGCTCGTATCGAAATGAGAATTAAAACTCATATGTAATGGTAAAGAGTATTTTATTCCAATAAACATACATAAGATCAAGAATAAATTGCGCAACTGTAGTTCAAAATAGTAAGTCTTTAGTATCCAATCAAATTTCTCAAGAGATCGATAATAATGAGAGGGATGAACCATTGGAGGAATGGCATGCTCTTGTGGATTTTAGCTTAGAATCTACCAATTTGACTTTAAAAAAAAATGTGTAAATTGCGAGAGATATGAGAAAGAAATATATGATGCAACAAAAATTATTACTAATTTTAATATTCTTATTTATCACTACATTGGATTACCTGGTAAAGAAAATAGAGAGTAGGCTCAAAGAGCCATTGTTTTGCAGTAGAATAAACAAAATTCAGAGTTTATAACTTATCAATTTTATATTTTGAATTTGATAAATTTTTCTTACCTTCTTCTACTGCACGTTTAAAAGAGACTAGTATATCTGTAGAATATAAGAGCTTTCTATCTATTTTTTCCATTGGATCTTTGGCAATAACAGATAAGTTAGATATTTGATCAGATTTAGATCTCTTTGTTTTTGTTAGCTTATTTGACTGTACAAGATCTTGTGATATACTATCATTTGAAGAAGAGACAGAGTCTTGAGGAAGCTGAACTTTGAGTCTTTGACTCATACCTATTTCATCGTCTAATGATCTGCATAGTAATGGGACTTTGTCTCTATCTAAAGATTGAAATTCTATATGAAGAACGTTTACAGTAGAATTTGATACATTAGTATTTTGATCAGAATCAATATCATCATCATATAAGTGAGATATAGGTTGATCTCAGAGAACTCTATTAGATTCCTCTCCTCTCCAAATCTGATAAATACGTTTTGTTGATATTCTATACTTATCTGTCAACTCATTTAAAATTTTATATCTTGATTTTATATCACGATATTGCATAATATATGAATAATCTTCAGGTGTGAATAGAGGTGCATCAGATCGTATACGTGATCTAAGCATAGTAATAAATGTAAATAGTATTTTTTTTTCTTTGTAAAAATACAAGATATTTATATCTAACAAAAAATATATAATATATGAAAAAAATATAATATATCGAATATACATATCTTATACTTATTTATTATACATATATCCTATCTGATATATTATAACAGATGTATATATTCTATATGATATATCATACTTAAAATACATATACATTCAAAAAGATATAATATATTTGATGTTATTTTTTTGACAAATCAAATTTCATTAATAATATGGACAACAAATATAATATTGAGGAGGAGTTGCAATATGGTGCAAATATTATATCCAAATTAAATGCTTGCAATAAAATATTGCGAGCTGATCAATTAAAACAAAATAAGAAGTGGGATCAGGAAAGAAAACAGTGGGAACAGGAGAGAAAAAAATGGAGTCAGAAACTAGGTGGGTCCAATGCTATGATTCAGAAATTAC